ATCAATTCAATATATGTATACATATATATATATGTACACACATATGTACAGAGAGCAGAGAAAGAATGAGAGAAAGAAAAAGCGAGAGAGAGTGAAACAGACAGACGGACAGAGAGCAGACAGAGGCTCCCTATATAGCCCTGGCTGGCCTCAAACTCGCTACGTATGTAGACCAGCCTAACCTTATACTCACAGAACTATGCTGCCACTGTCTCCAGAGTGCTGGCATTAAAAGCAGGTGCTACCATCTGGAGTACTATTGTAGACAGTTTATGTAAAGAAGTTAAACGATTGGTGGCTTTGTGTCTAGCTTCTTTTACATAAGAGTATTTTCAACGTTTATCCATTTTGTGGCAGTAACAGATAGCTCACTCTTAATAAGGCAGAGAACTATCCCATCTTAAAAACACTGAATAAAGTTTATTCATGCTACAGATATTTGTGCTATTTCTATTTTTGAGAAATTATAGCTAATGTACACATCCATATACATGATGTTATATGAACATGTTTTGCTGTCTCTTGGGGGTGTATACTGGAATGAAATTAATGGATAATATGGTGACCAAATGCCAAATTACTTTTCTAAACTGATAGCAGCACCTTACATTCCCAAGACTCCAATTTCACTAGATGCTTTCCAATGCTAATGACTGCCTGCCAATAAAACCCTTTATTTGTCATTATTTTCAAGTTTGGACGAAGTCTTCAAGTTATGCAATGGGTGCAACTACTTTTCATGTAGTTCTTCCCTCTTTAGAGAATCTGCTCTAACCTCTAGAATGTATTGGAGCTTTTATGCTGGCCTCTACCCATTAGGCTAACTTAGGTGTTGGCTGTTAGTTTCTGGTGCTTCCTGTATTCAGAAATTACTGTACATTTATACAATGGAATATTACTCAATTAATATTGAGTAAAAAAATTGAAAACAAAGAAATCACGAAATTTACAGGCAAATGGTAGGATCTAGAAATGATTATCCTGAGTGAGGTATCCTAGGAGAAAGACCCACATGGTACTCACTTATAGGTGGACATTAGACATATAATATAGGATAATCATACTAAAATCTGTACACCTAAAGAAGCTAATCAAGAGGGAGGTCCCCAGTTAGAAGCCCAATGTTCATTCAGAAAGGCAAACGGGATGGACATCAGAAGAGGGAGAAAACAGGGAACAGGACAGAAGCCTACCACAGAGGGCCTCTGAAAGACTCTACCCAGCAAGGAATCAAAGCAGATGCTGAGGCTCATAGCCAACGTTTGGGCAGAGTGCAGGGAATCTTATGAAAGAAGGGGGAGATAGAAAGACCTGGAGGGAAAAGGAACTCTACAAGGAGAGCAACAGAACCAAAATATCTGGGCCTAGGGGTCTTTTCTGAGACTGATACTCCAACCAAGGACCATGTATGGATATAACTTATAACCCCTGCTTGGATGTAGCCCATGGTAGCTCAGTATCCAAGTGGGTTCCCTAGTAAGAGGACAGTAAGGGACTGTCTCTGGCATGAACTTGGTGGCTGCCTCTTTGATCACCTCCCCCAGAGGTGATCCACAGAGGAAGACAAAGAAACCAGCCCTGATGAGACCTGATAGGCTAGGGTCAGAGGGAAGGGGAGGAAGACCTCCCCTATCATTGGACTGGGGGAGGGGCATAGGAGAAGAAGAGGGAGGGAGAGTGGGATTGGGGAGAGGGCTACAGCTGGAATAGAAAGTGAATAAACTGTAATAAAAAAAGAATGTATTGGGACGCAGACTGTTAAGTAGTTGTCCTTGTCTTCCTACCTGGAAGAAACTACATATAAAAGCTAAAATTAAAAAGAAAAAGAAATCAATAAAATCATGTACAGAAACATTTTAAGTTTAGTCTCAACCCAGAAACTCCTGAAAAGAAAAAAAAATCCTTATAGCTGTAATGAATTGCATTCCAGATAGCAAATTCATAGCCTCGAAAACACAGATACTTTGTTCTTCTGCTTCTGAGACAGGGTCTCACTGTGGCCCACATTGCCCTTGAATGCTTAGCAGCACTCCTGCCTCAGTCTCCTCAGTGCTGGTACTACAGGGATGTGTGAGCATGCCTGGCAACAAGATCGGTTTCAAAGACAAGCTAACAAAGCTAATATACCCAACGAATCAGAAAGGGCCTGGCCACAGGTATTTCCAATCATTACTGCAGTTACTTGAGATCAAATATTTCAAAGAACTCTCAACATTTTAAAGAAATCCAAAATTGTGGATTATTATCTACTATAATTAATGAAACGTTCTAAACACAGACAAATCAGAAAAAAGTTCTAACATTTAAAAACTGTATTTATATTTGATAAGACTTTTGTTGACATGTTACATACCAGTTTTTCCTGAAATATTTAAAAAGTAACTGGAGGGACATTATCTGTTCATCATGAATTTTATCAACATGCATTTCCTAACACCTAGAAATTTATCTCATATTAGCATAGAACAGTTATCAAAACCAGGAGTTTGACAGATCTTACCTGCATGTTATATTGCTAACATGATTTATAATTCTCCAGTGTCCAAAGTCAACAGAAAAATCAAGCATTATATTTATTTAAATGCTACATTTTGTCTTTTAGAATGGTCCCATGACTGTTTTATTGCACTCTAAAGAGTATAGTCTGGTCAGTTTATAGAATGCCCTCTAAGCAGTTTAGTAATTTGTGAGAGTTTGGTTTAAGGAGGAATGCTGCACATGAATACATCACATATTTGCCATTTTGTTCTTTTCAGTGTTGTCACAGCAAGAATAAAATACACCATTAGTGTGCACCTTTATGTGCTGAACCATTCCACGAGCCTAATGCTTAAACGACTTGATGAGTAAATTAACAGATAACATGATAATGTAAGCCAACAAATTCTAACTATTAGAAGACGGACATGATAAAATGCCAGAATAAAGTCTGGGCTTTAAACAGACATCTATATGGAGAATTGAACATAGATGTGTGCATACACGCTAGACAGGCCGACATGCATGACACTGAGAGATCCTCAAAAAAGAGGTACTAAGCACAACCAGCAAGAGCTTGGCTTAGTTTGTAAACATTTTCTGAAATAACAGCAGCAGCAACACAGCCAAACCCCTTTTAAAGAAATGATTAACAGTTTAGAGGAGCAAATGTAAATGAGACTATAGCATAAATGATTTCCTGTCTTTTTCTTATACACAGACATGCTAAACTGCTTCTCTGCCCTGTGTATTAAAGCACACTGACTGTATAAAAGTGGGAAATGTACCAACCGAGAAGCTCCCATACTCCTGTAGTAGCCTTTAGTAAGTAACTTTTAAAGAAGGAATTTTCATGCCCTATTGAGTATTCCAAATATCTAATACTTAAAGTAAAAATAAAACAAAAGTCCATGACTCAAACAAAAGTGAACACAAGGATGACTGAGTACTTACTGTGGACAGCCCTATGCAATATGCTAGATGCACTTTCAGTTGTTATTGCTCTTTCCTTAGAGCTCTAGTTAGTTACAGTCACCAAAAAAGTGAGTACAGAGTAAGAGTTTGAAAGTGACCATACTCACATCTACTATTAGTAGCCATCTTTAATATTCACTTGCTGTATCTATAAATTAAACTTTATCAAAGTATGTATACATAGAAAAGGGGGGCAGTATATAGAGGGTTTGGTGCTATGTCTTATTTTGGGCATCTACTCAGAACTCAGAATGTACTCTCCTGAAGCTAAGGGTGAAATACCAGATGTACAAGATTAAAATGAAAGCTTTTTTTCCCTTTCTTCTAGGGGTTTAAATTACAGTAGGTTTAATAAAATTTGAGAAAGACAGAGCAATTTAAAGATGTCATTCTGACTGACACCATGAAATGGCAAACTGGTTTAGTGTCAACCATTCAGAAAAATACTTCATTAAAGAGTCGAACTTAGCTGGATGTGGTGGTGCACAGCTTTAATCCTAGCACTGGGGAAGGAGAAGCAGGAGCTCGGTCTATGTAACAAATCTAAAGCTAATCAGGGCTCACAGTGAGTCCTTGTCTAAAAACAAACAAGAAGTCAACACCATTTACAACACTTCTCATCAGAAGACATGTAATCTACATGACAAGAAGACATTTAGTAGACGTTCTTTTCTAGAGTTCTCAGAATAAGGTAAAAAGGACTTGTGTAATTTTGGAAGGGAAGAGATGGTGGCTACGTGGTTAAGAACTCTTGCTGCTTTTGCAGAAGACCTGGGTTTTGTTCCCAGAACCCATATGGTAGCTCACAACCATCTGTACCTACAGTTCTAGGGCATCCAAGGTCCTCTTCTGATCTCTGTAGACACTGCACACATGTGGTTCACTTACCGACATGCAGAAAAAATAAATATACTTAAACACAAATTAATCTTTTCAACAGTCAAACTTTCTAAAGTTATTACAACTATCTAGGCCTCTTATAAAAAAAAAATAAAGATATTCATTAAATACAAGCCTAAATCAAAGATCCTCTCAAATTACTAAAGTGCACAAGTATTAAAACCAAACTATTTGTTACTTGGGTCTACTTTGTATGTGCCTTTATTTTCTCTAGCTCTTTCCCTCAAACCATTCCACATCTACTGACCAAATCAACGACAAAGGAGAAAACACTAGCAAAATCATGCTCCTTTAGAGAACGCTGCCCTCCACCAGAGAGACAGACAGACAGACACAGACACACATACACACACACACACAATCCTGTCCCTACCCACCCACACACCAAAAGTTTGTATTTTAATTTTCTAGTGGAACAGGTAAAGAAATTTACCAAATTTGGGACATGTTATCTCTATTATCATGTTGAACATTACTTCAGCAATCACAGGAATTTTAGAGATAAAAATACTTAAAGCTGGTACATGGTTTTGATGCTACTTAAACATTGCCATAGGGCATGGAAAGGGAACTGCCTTGGGTATTTAAAGCTTGTCACATTTAGAGTTGAAACTGAAGCATATCAAAAAAGCAATTCAGCATCTTACCACAATCATTTCTGAAGGTTCTAATACAAGACAATCACATCCTCTTTTTCCTCCAAACTGCTTACCAAAACTATAAAAACAGAAAAACAATTTAGCAGAAGTTATAACGTATTTCAATATGGGAAAAAAGTAAACAAAAACGCCAAGACATTAACCAAGAAATTCTGATCCTCTTACTGATATTTTTTCTAACAAAACAAAAGCAAAACACAAACAAATTATCAATTGCTTAAATTAAACAAACCTCAACTCAATTCTGTGTAAAATTTTTCTAAAAATTTTCTTAGTCCCCATAATTTTTTATGAAAGATATTTGCCTAACCTCAAATTCTAAACACGTAACCAAGACTAAATTAAAAGAAAAACATTTAAGATAGGATATTATGTTTTATAAAAGTAAACTATTACATTAGACAACAGAAGTAGAAACAAAAAACATTTTAGTAAATAAAGAAATGCAAATAGACTAGAAAATGATGCATTTTTTAAAAAAATGCTACCAGCCATCAGCTATTTCTGGAAAAACAAAACAAAACAAAACACAAAAACTTCCATATGCTTCATCTGAGAGCAAATCAAAACTAGAAAGAAATAAAGAAAAACTAAGCATTAAAAAGATAAATTTAAAAAAGGAATAAAACAGGAAAAGGACTGTCATTTGAAGATATGAGACACAAAGATTAATTGTGCAGACCATACTTAAACTTGAGAACCATCTAAAACACTAGTACCATCATCAGCTATAAAAATATTTGAGACACCTCAATGGTTAAAAGCATTTTGTTGTTGTTGTTGTTGTTCTCGCAGAGAACTTTTGAACTTGCAGAGAACCACCAGTACCCCCAAGGTGGTTCAAAACCTTCCATAACTCTAGCACTAGAAGATTTGACATCCTCTTGTGGTCCCCACAGGCATGAAGCACACATATCTACAAACATGTAGACAATATACTCAGACACATAAAAAAAATATCTAAGTAAAATACTGCCTCTACATTAAGTAACTAAATGGGAAGGGGAAGAATACTAATAAGTTTAAAGTTTACTCAAAATAAATTCAAAGTCATTTATGAACCAGAACTTAAACACAGCAACAAGTAGCATATACTTTTATAAGACTTAAAATTATAATTAAACAATTTTATAACACGTAAAATTTGTTACAATAATTTAAAACAAAACCATAATCAAAATTCAATGAAATTAGCAGGGCATTATGGAACATCTTTTTAGCCCAGCAAGCAGAGGGCAAAGGTAGGTGGATCTGGTTCAAGGCCAGCCAGAGCTATACAATGAGACCCTGCCACCCTCCTCACAAATCTAATAAAATTACTTTTTGAACATAAGAAAAGTCACTTTATTTCTATGCAGAAGAATTATATATATTTTCCAAAGGGAGCCTTATATTATCTACTACATAAAGCTGAAGTCCAAAGAAGTTACACACAACACAGTATAGCAAAAGCTGCATATGTTCTCTTAAATGAAAATACAAAACAAAACAAAACCCATAAAAAAGTATGTATAACAAATTTCAAGACAACAGAAGGCATAGAGATCAGGAGTAGCATCTCCCTCCAAGAAAAAACAATGGCAAACCTAACCCTGTAAAATGCTTAGCTTACCAGCCTCCTTATAGGCAATCTTAACAGTACTACACAAGCAGCTACTGGAATGAAAGACAACAGCAGCTGAATTTTTATTGGAGAAAATGCTTCAAAGTTTTCACATTTGTAAAGTTAGAGTACCAGAGAGGAGATGTACGGGCAAAGAACATGGATGGAGGAAGGGATGCAGAGAGGAAACACACACAGTTTGTGTACTTTGGAGATCTCTGGAAAGGTCACATCATATCCAGTGGGTATGTGAGAAAAAGAGAGTGAACTGAAAAAGCACGTTAACACATGGACACTTAATATCATCCTCAGAAATGTATTTTTTAATAATGACATTACAGTCCTGAGTACTAGATTTGATCTCGCAAATTTAAAAGATAAGGCTCAAAATAAACAAATCTGTTTTAGACAGCTGGAGCATATGATAGAACAATTTCTATTACTATCTGATGCAACAAAAAATAGAACCCAATTACATAAAATGTGGACCATCTGATATCCGATTAAAATAGCCATTTTCTCCAAATTGTACAGATTCAATGCAATAAAAGAAAATCCCAGAAAACTGATTTGAAGGAATGATATAATAATCCAAGATTTACATGGAAATGTCAAGAACTTACTATAACTGAAACAAAGCTGGAAAACAAAGTTTACAGTATCTACATTATCAAACGAGACAACACAATGGTATTCCAGATGATGAAGTATTGGCCCAGCTCACACAAAAAGAAAAAAGGCCAGGTCCACAATTGTTTTTGTGACAAAAGTAAAAGTGTGTTTATTCAGGGCAAAACATAATCCCCTCCTTCTCTGAATAAACAGCAGTAAATAACTAGCTAATTAATATAGAACAGCCAACAACATGGCCAGTCAGCACATCTGACCACCTGAGTTTGACTCCCAGGACGCAGACAGTGGAAGGAGAGAAACGGATCTTGTCCTCGGATCTCCACAAGTGTACTGTGTACAGGAACATATACATATAAACAAAAAAATAAAAATTATCAAACAAAAAGGGGAAATTCAGCAAATAAATAAATAAAATCAGAAACAAAATTTAAATGGTCAGAGATAAGCCAAAAAAAAAAAAAAAAAACCAAACCAAACCAAACCAAAAACCCCTGTCCACATGATAAATCTTTTGCACATGCATTTTACTAGGGTTAGGAAGCTCCTACCTGATGCCAAATTTTCATTTTGTTTTGGATTCTATCAATAGTTTTTTGTGCTTAAACTATCAGGCACTTTTGTATATCATTTTATTATAGTATGTTTTATTAACTGATTTTTTCGTATTTGGAACATTCTTATGCTGGTAATTCAATATTTTAAATACATTCCTAGGTTCAGTTTACTATTATTTTGTTAGCAGTTTCTGGATGTGTCCTGTCATCCCCCACCCCCACTCCCTCCACCTGGTTGTTACTATGTAGATCCAATGGGTCTGGAACTTCCTATCTAGATCAGGCTTGCCCTCAAACTCGAAGATACACCTGTCTCCCTAGTGTTGGGATTAAAGGTATGGACTACAATGTGGAAATTTTCTTAACTTGTAACACTTCTCCCTGGCCTAGGTCATAGCTAAAATGCATCACAGCAATAAATTGAAACATTCTCACTTCCTTTTTCCAAGAGTTCACATAGGATATAACATGTCTTTGTGTTTCAAAGTATTCCTCTGTGAGCCTTGGCTTCTCTGTTTGTTTGTTTTTAACTTTTTATTGGTGCTTTGTGACTTCCATGTCATGCTCCCCAATTCCACTCATCTTCTCATCCCTTTGTATCTGTCCTTTGCCCTTGTATCCTCCCTCCCACAGGCAATGAAAAAAGAAAACCCATAAAAATAAACAGAAAGAGAGAAAGAGACAGAGAAGAAGGGAGGGAGGGAGAGAGAGAAAGACAGACAGACAGATACAAACAAAACCACAGTGTGGAAGCTGCAGTTTGTCACATTGTGTCTCCTAGTATACCTTTTTTTTTTTCCTCTTACATCTTAAAAATGTTCATTGCAATGAGTAAATGGTCTGGTTTGAGGTCTTTGGCTTCTGCTACACTATCAATACTAGATCTTCACTGTGACTCTCAGATATCCTGTCGTTGCCATGTCATGGAGATCCTGCAGTTTTGGATCTGCAGAACTGGCTCCTTCATGAAGTTCATAGATGGGGTAGATGGGGTGGACCAACTCACAGCCTTGGATCTGGACCTGGATGGCAGCTGAGTTGGTCAGCCTGCCAGCTCTCCTGCCCTTCATACCACAGTGAGCTCTCCAGCACTGCCCCTAGCTAGCTCACCCAATGCCACAGCTAGCAAGGGGCTGGGCCAGCTCTTCTGCTCTCATGCCTTCGGGGCTGGCTCAACTGCACCCATGCCACCTGGGCCATCTTTACTGTGCTACCCAGGCAAGGTACTGGGCCGCTTTGCTCAGCCTTTGCATAGAACCATAGTTTTAGACAGCAGCCCAAGTCTAGAGACACCCCCATTGCCTTTGGTGGTAATATGGGCCACGGACATTGAAACAGACCCTGCTGTTTCATGGCCATGGACCCACACATGGCCCTCAGCAGCAGCATGGGCCAGGACTTCACCATGGCTTCAGGTAGCATCGAAAGCTACTTACATCAGGCTGTTCCTCTCCATTCTCATGTCTGCAGATCTGCCTCTCTTCATAGTGCTCAAACCTGTCTTTTCTTTCACTCCCATATCTCTACCCCATACTTGCACATTGTTGTAGCTTGTGCCATGAGGGCCTCGTGGTGGGTGGGTACTCTGGATATTTTCAAATGTTTGTCCAACACCAAAGATTCCTAAGCAAACAAATCTCTGGCCAAAGTTAAACACAGCACAGTAAAACTAATTCAACAATAGAGCTGTCCATTCTCATGGCTGAACTGTCACCACAACCAAATAGAGAGACTAGCAGAAAGCCCAATGATGAGAAGTATAAATACAGCAGTCAGTTATGGGTCTCCACTCTGCAAGTACTGTTCTTCTTTCTAGGATAGAATACAGCTCTGACTCACAGTGACTCAACACACTAGTCAGTTTTCTCAAAGGAATAAGGCATGGGCCCGCTGGCCCATGTGTCTGTTAGTGGCTTTATTGATGGGCAGAATAATTCAACATTTCCCAGGATGCAAGAACAGAAAATGCTTTTGTGTCTCAAGTTCCACCTAACTCTACAGTGTACAAACCACTCAGCTTCTCTTCATCTTCCATTTCTCTACCATGTATTTGCTCGCTTCTTTCTCTCCCATCCCTCTACACCTACTTGTTCACTCCCTATTCCGGTTTGCCCTGGGCATTTTTAAAGTTTTTTTTTTTTTTTCAGACCATTTTGAGAATTTTAAGTCTGCAAGAATTGCCCAGTTTGTTGATGTAAAGTTCCTAAAATTCTCTTTTGAATTATCCTAAAATTCCCTGTGAATTATTATCATGTTCATGGTAACATA